TCCTCCTCCTCCTCTCTACCCTCCTCCTCCACCCCTCCTCCTCCTCCTCCACCTCCTCCTCCTCCTCCTTTCTCCTCCTCTCCTCCTCCTCCTCCTCCTCCTCCTCCTCCTCCTCCTCCTCCTCCTCCCCCCCTTTCTGACACTGTGCCTCCTCCTCTCTTTCCGCCTCACTCCTCCCTCCATCCCTCCTCCCTCCGCTTCCTGCCTCCTCCTTCTCCTCCTTCCGCCTCCGCCTCCGCCTTCTCCTCCGTCTTCTTCTCCATGTCCTCCTCTCTCTCCTCCGCCTTCGCCTCAGCCTCCTCCTCCTCCCCCTCTCTTGACGCTGTGCCTCCCCTCCGCTTCTGCTCACTCCTCTTCCCTCCCTCCTCACTTCTCCGCCTCCGCCTCCTCCTCCTCCTTCTCCGCCCTCCTCCTCCTCCTCCGCCTCTGCCTCCCCCTGCTCCTTCTCCTCCGTCTCCTCCTTCTCCTCCTCATTACTTGATCCAGTCCGTAGGTCCCGATGCACTCCAGGGCAAACTCAAGGTCCACATCAAGTACACCATACGAGGTGCAAGCTATCGTGTCTCACGGTCCTGCTGCTTGGATTTTAGCTTTCGACACCTCACCCCCAAGTTATCGGCCACGGGGCCGGGACAGACGCAACACCACATACCAGAGCCACACTTTGTTGCGGCCACTTTGGACTTAGTATCTGTGAATCCATGCCGCACTGCGCCCCAGAGTAGGGACGCATTTTTTGCTCACTCAAACGACCACAAATCGTCAAAACGGGAACTTGCGACTACCCAGATTTCAGGCGTACATTCCCATCCGCGATCCCCCCACGCCACGCAAGGCGCTGCACATGTAACAGGGACGGCGCGGCGCAGCAGGCGTTAAATTTGTCAAAGCAGTTTGCGCCCAAACCAGCGCTAAAACTGTTAAAGCAATTTTGGCTGAAGGGATCGCGCGCATGGAGTGTGCGTGCCGTGCGATACAACACAGAAAAGTACATTGGACACTTAAGTCTGACACGCGTCTTCCCTCGATCCAGCAAGAAGTTGTTGGGCTCTGGGGAGGTCCACTTCTTCCTGTCACCTCTAGGGTGGCCTGCTGTGGCGCAGGTCCCCCTGTCAACCCTGCGGTGGAGGTGGCCGCAGGCCATACCACATGGGGTCAAGGCGCCCCTCGAGCCACATCACTTCAAGTCCTCCTCCTCCTCCTCCTCTTCCTCCTCCTCGTGCCCACTCCTCGCTCCTCCTGCTCACCCTTTCTCCATCTCGGCTAGCTGCGTCGCAGGAGCCGCCCTTCCTTCTCGTCGGTTGCACGCGGCTCGTTGCAGACGGGCCCTCGCCTTCGGCGCGCACCCTCGCCCCCGGCGGACGCGCGGGGGGAAGGGCCGGCGGCGGCTCGCGGGCCTGCCGGCGGGAGCTGGCGGCAGGCTCGGCTCGGCTCGGTGGTCGGCACCGCCCAGGCGGAAGTGGGCGGGAGAAGGGAGACGTGGCGCGGCTCCGCCCTCTGGCTCCTCCCCCTCCTCCTCCTCCTCCTCCTCCTCCTCCTCCTCCTCCTCCTCCTCCTCCTCCTCCTCCCTCCTCCTCCTCCTCCTCCCTCCCTCCTTCTCCTCCTCCTCCTCCTCCCTCCTCCTCCTCCTCCTCTCTCCTCCTCCTCCTCCTCCTCCTCTCCTCCTCCTCCTCCTCCTCCCCCTCCTCCTCCTCCTCCTCTCCTCCTCCTCCTCTCCTCCTTCCTCCCTCCTCCTCCTCCCCCTCCTCCTCCCCTCCTCCTCCTCCTCCTCCTCCTCCTCCTCCTCCTCCTCCTCCTCCTCCTCCTACTCCTCGGGTCGCCTACGGCCCCGGGGGAAGCCGTGCAGGAGTGAGTGCGGCGTCGTGGTGCAGCTCCGCCCTCTGGCTCTCGTGGCTCCTGTCGTGGACCCTGGCGGCTTACGCATCGCATTTGAGGTGCGCCGATTCCGGCGGGCTGGAGAGTTTGGGCGTCGCGACAAGCGTCCCGATGGAGCGTTTCTGGGGCGCAGTGCTTCTTAGAAAAGGAGGCACAAGCGAGACGCCACCATTTCCGTGTTCAGAGCTTCTGGGCTCGACAGACTCTTGGCTGGCCGCGCCGCAGGACGCACTTGTGCTTCCTGTTGTTTACGCATGGGCGCTGGCCGAATGCTTGTCGATTTCCACTGCGCGGGAGATGCTGCGGTCGGCGTTTCGAGGCAGCGCGCCGATCTTGTTTGGCCAGAACCTGCGCCCCGGCTCGGCCTCGTGTTCCCCGGTCCCGCTTCCCCGAGCAGTGCCGACGTCGAGAGTTTTGCTGCTGCCCGCACGCACATGTTTTCATGTGTATGTTGGACTTCTCCTGGTGTCCTCGGTCCCTGGGGGGCCCTCCGTGAGCTTCGCCTCGCCGAGGTGCGTCCCGCTTGGTGGGTCTGCACAGCATTCACTCATTAGCATCGAATTCTGCCACAGCCGTTTCAGCATCGAGCCTGCCACACAGCGTGGTGGGCGCGTGGTGGCGCTCACAGGCCCCGAGACCACCCGAACCCAATCGTATACCCACGATTTTGAATCCAGGTTCTGCCGCAACGCCACACTGGGTTCTGGCCCTCTCCGTAGTGCTGGGCGGCCAAGCCTTACAGTATGTCGCACCTCCCGCCCCCCCGACGTCATGTGTCTTTCAGAGCGTCGACCCTCAGAGGTCTCGACCCATTCCCCGGGACCAGATTTCCACCCCGAGCCGATTTCGATGGTCCCGAGGGCCGGTAATAGGCCCCCAGAGGCCGGAAATGGGGGACCCCAGAGGCCACAAATGGGGCCGGCAAGGGCCACCAGAGGCCGAAAACAGGGAAAAAGCTACCGTCATGGTTCGGGAAGGACTAAAACACAGACGCAATTCTAGACGCTTCGCGTATCCCCACCAGCCCGTCCAGAAACGACGCCCAGGCGAGTAGAGGGTCGTCCTGAGGGGCTTTTCGGCGTCTTGGGTGCCTCGGGGGGGCCTCTTTGGGCCTTTTGGGATCCTCTTGGGGGCCTCCTGGGGGCCTGGGGCCATCTTGGGGCCATCTTGGGGCCTCTTGGTGCCTCCTGGGCGCTTCTTGGGGCCATCTTGGAGGAAATCGATCAAAGAAGAGGGGAGCTTCAATTAGCGCTGCCCCCTCAGAAGGCCAAAATGGGGCCAAAACCTTAGTAAAATCAATGATTTGGGCTTCCTCGGCGAGGCCGTTTTGGACGCTCTGACCGCTCCCCGCCCCCCCTGTCCAGGTCAGTGGGGAGGGGGTAGGGGGAGGGGTAGACCCCTCCCCGAAGGGGAAGAAGGAGGGGTGGAAGAGGAAACTCGTTAAACCACCGACGCCCTAAAGGGCTGGTGGGATTAATCATCGGTTCCCCGGAAAATATGGGAAAAATATGAGAGGTGGGGTGGAAGACAAAGACCAAGAAAGTACGGGAAAGTACGGGGAGTCCTGCTATCCGTGTGCATCTCTTAGTGTGTCCTTGTGGGCCCCTTCGGTGGCTCCTGCCTGGCTCGATGGGGGCCTGGGCTCGCCGAGCGCAGGGAGGGCTTCGGGCACTCCCCGCGGGCCCCGCCTCGCCGAGTGGGGCGCCCACGAGGGGCGCCCCTGAGGGGCGCCCCCGAGGGGCGCCTCCAGAGGCCGGCCGCGGGGCGCCGTCGTCGTCGTCGTCGTCGTCGTCGTCGTCGTCGTCGTCGTCGTCGTCGTCGTCGTCGTCGTCGTCGTCGTCGTCGCCGTCGTGGTCGTCGTGGTCGTTGTCGTCGTCGTGGTCGTGGTGGTCGTCGTCGTCGTCGTCGCCGTCGTCGTCGCCCTCGTCGTCGGCGGCGCTTTCCTTCTGGGCGGGTCCGGCGGAAGCCCCGAGAGGAGGTGTCGAGACCTGGGGCCCGCGGGTGGGGCGATCCCTGGGAGAGGGTGGGCTCCACCTTGCGGTGGAGCGGGAATTCAGGATGCCTTCTTCTCCTCCTCCTCCTCCTCCTCCTCCTCCTCCTCCTCCTCCTCCTCCTCCTCCTCCTCACGCTCTCCTCCTCTTCCTCCCCGCCCTCTTCCTCCCCTCCTGCTCACTCCTCCCTCCTGCTCACTCCTCCCTTCTCGCTTTTCGTCCCTCCGTCGCCTCCGCTTGTCTTCCCCCTCCTCCTCCTTCTCTTCCTCTTCTTCCTCCTCCTCCTCCTCCTCCTCCTCCTCCTCCTCCTCCTCCTCCTCCTCCTCCTCCTCCTCCTCCCCCTCCTTACTCGTTCTTATCATTTTTTCTTATTTTTCTTCTTGTTTTATTGTGATTGTTATTGTTCGTATTTTTCTACTCCTCGTCTCCTCCCCCTCCCCCCTCCTCCTCCCCCTCCTCCTCCCCTCCTCCCTCCTCCTCCTCCTCCTCCTCCTCTCCTCCTCCTCCTCCTCCTCCTCCTCCTCACTCCTCCTCATGATCACTTCTCTTCATGATCACTTCTCCTTCTCAGTCCTCATCCTTCTCCTCCGCCCGACCCTGAAGGTGCTTCCGTTTTTGAGTCTCATGCCCTTTCTGAATGCGGGCGCAAGTGCCGCCTGTGTCGGGGTTCGGTGTCGGCTGCCCGTGTCAGGTTGTGGTGTGATGCACCGTGTTTTATGTTTGTTGCAGTTGATGGCTCTTCGCGTGCACTTCCCGAAGGGGCTGTGATTCACATTGCTGGGGGATGGGCTCACCCGTTCCACTGTGATGAGGCTGCGCCAGGACCTGGGGCTGTGGTTCTCTGCCAGCTGCGGGGTGCTCTGGGATCAACAGCCTTTAGATCTTGTGTGTGTAGATGGCACCACCCCCACTCGTCGTGAATATCTTCAGCGGACTTCTTTGGGGCAGTGGCCCGCTGTTACAGTCAGAAGGGGCTGATATGTAGAGCACGTAAGCTGTCTGCGTAAGTGTTGGTAGGACTTCGTCTTGGGACTCCTCCTCCTCCTCCTCCTCCTCCCCCTACTCCTCCTCCTCCTCCCCCTCCCCCTCCCCCTCCTCCCCTGCCTTCTCCTCCCTCCTCCCCCCTTCCTCTCCATGTCGTCCAGCGGTTGCAACAACGGCGACGAGGCCGCGACGATCGCGCTGGGCCAACACTGGAGGCCCGTGGAGGTCCCTAGAGGCATCGGGAGTCCCCCTGGAGGCCCCAAAACAATGACCAAAAAGCAAGCCTAGATCCTCCTCCCCTTCATCGTCGATGCCTCTGTCTCTGTCTCTGTCTCGAACTCGTGTTCTCTCTCTCTCTCTCTTTTTCTCTCTTGCTCTCTTTCTCTCTTTGTCTCTGTCTCTGTCTCCCTCAATCGAATATATATATATATATATATATATGTATACACCTATATCGATTTTATCATTTGTTATTTATACATAAACACATCTATATACATATATAATCAATCTCCCTCTCTCGTTCTCATTCTCTTTCTCTTTGTCTTTCTTTCTCCCCCTCCCTCTCTCGTTCTGGTTTCCTCGACCGTTGGAGGCGAAGGACATGCAGTTCTCGTGAACGCCACGCCTGGCTTTTTTTGCGCTACACTGCCTTGGGCCCGTCTTGTAGTGCTTTTTGGTTCTTCGCTGGCTCTTTACGATTTGTCTTTTTTTGCGCTGGCTCCATCTGCATTTCTGTCAATTTGGGATTTGAGTTCCAAACCCATCGAGGGTGTCGGCAGACCTCATCCCAGAGCCGTCTTAGGCCTGTCTTGTTGTAGTCCTTTGGCTGTTGGTCGTCTTAGTCACTGATGTGTCGCCGGCGACCGTACGCCGTCATGTTTGGTGAACGCTCCGCTCAGTCCTTTCCGTTGTTCTTCTGTGTCTCATTTTAGCCAGCTTTTTCACCGCACCAACGCTGTTCTCTTTACAGTGCATGTTTGCCGCATCTACTCTGAGGCTGTCTTTTGGTCTGTCTTGGTGTGGTCTTTTGGCCGTTGGCCGTCTAAGCCGCATCTGTACTGCTGGCGGTACAGAACCGACAGTTTGTCTATGAAGGCGCGCATTATTTTTCTTTTTCTCTTTCTATCTCGATCTATGTATCTTTGTATATACGTGTTGTGCTATCCGTGTGGTGCAACCTGCGCGGTACAGTCTGTTTTGTGCAGGCTGTGCGTTGCACTTTGTGGTCCAGCTCCTCCTGCCGAACCTGAAGTTGACAGTTCCACTGTTCGCGCAATCATCCCACCCACCCACCCGCAACTCGGTTTGCAAAACCCATGCGGTGGCGATTGTGATGACAGCTTGGCGCTGGCTGGCGCATCGCCTCGGCCGCGCTGGCGCGCGCGCAGGCTCGCGCGAAGAGCGGCCAGCTATAGTCTGGCGCGACCGACGCGGCCTCGGTGGCGCTGACTGCTGGGGACTTCCCTGCGCTTCTCGCAGACCGCGCTGGCGCGCGGGCACTTCTGTGTGACTCGGTGACTCGGGCGGGCGGTGTATCAAGGCGACGTCGACAACGGCAGACACGACGATGATACTGGCGATGCTGGTGGCAAGGACGACGCCGACGACGGCAAGGCCAGTGACAGCAATGCTGAGCACGCCGGTGGCGATGATGGTGTCCACGTGTCGATGATGAGGGTTATGAGAAGATTTTGACGTGCGCGCGCGGCCGACGCGCGCGAGTGGCCAGCATGGTGTTATTTGAGAGGGATCGTGCCGCCCGCATTGAGCACGCGCGCAAGGGCGTTTGCATTATTTCGGCATGCGCGCGCGAGAGGCCGATTTGGTCGCACTTGCTGAAACTGTTGAAGAGCTCTACATGGTTTTGTTGAGAATTCGCAAGAGAGCGCAGGTGTGTGTTTCGGGAACCTCGATTTCGAAACCCTTACGGGGCCCATGGTTTTGAAGGGTTCCAGCATGCGCCCGCGATGACCCGTGCGTGTGCAAGCTGTCACACCTTTTGCCAGAGATCTGTGATACCTGATGGTTTTTGAGAAACAACTGTGCGCGTATCGTGTTAGGTGTCAGGGACGAGAGGGGGTGTCGAACCCGGCCTGGCTGGGATAATCTGACTTCATATGTAGCGTGAGCGAAAGGAGCTCACACATCACCAGGGGGAGCGGATAAAACCAGGGTTGGTGGTGGTAGATCGTTTTTCCTCGTCAGAAAAGAGACTCTATGGGGCGAGCGCATGGTCGTACAATCTATGCGGTGTGTTTTGTGCAATCTATGGCGGCGACGAGGCGGCGACGGGGCGGCGACGGCGGCGACGTAACCGCCAGACCGACACACAGGCCCAGACTACGGGCGGCGACGAGGCGGCGACGGCAACGACATAGCGCCCAGACCGACAGACAGGCCCACACGACGGGCAGCGCCGAGGCGGCGACGTGGCGGCGACGGCGGCAACGTAGCCGCTTGAGCGACCACCAGGCACAGTTCCGCAGATCGGAAATACCACCCCCTAAGTGCAAGCATTGGTTCGGGAACATTCAGGTCTTCGCGTTATTGCATTGGTGCCAGAGGGAATTTTCAAGTCCAGGATTCTGAAGTTCACGCGAGGGTCCGCATGAGCGCTCTTGGAGGCGTTTTGGGCGTGTCTTGTTGGCCTCGTGGGCCATTCGAATCGAACCCATCATCGTCACACGATCACCTCCCCCGCCCCTCTCTGCACCGTGCCCCTCCGCATCCTCGTGCTCCTGCGCGTCTTTTCTTGAGGTCCTGCCCTCTGTTTCTCCGTGCGTGGGTGCGGCTGCGCGGCCCGGGGTGATCAGGAGCACGGGGCAGGGGCACGGACACATCATGGGCAGGCAGAGGGCGGCCGGACACGTCAGACGAATTCGTCTGACGCAGCGAGGGAACTGTGAGCAGGTGGAGGAGGAGGAGGAGGAGGAGGAGGAGGAGGAGGAGGAGGAGGAGGGGGGAGGAGGAGGAGGAGGAGGAGGAGGAGGAGGAGGAGGAGGAGGAGGAGGAGGAGGAGAACGAGGACCAGGACGACCAGCATCAGCATCAGGAGCAGTAGCAGCGGCGATTGCATCAGCAGCATCAGCACGAGGAGGAGGCGGAGCAGGCATTCGAGGAGGAGCGGATGGAGGCTTGGCATCCCTCGGACGTTTTTTTTCTTTTGTTTTGTTTCTCTCTTTTTCTCGGCGAGCACCATCGAGGAGCATTTTCGCTCATCCTACGAAGACGTAAACGGACGACATTGAAACATGCACGGGGAATGAGCGTCCGAGCGATGGCAAGGAAGATGGAGTCGACAAGGAGATACATCACCAGTCATACTAGCTGTTGTGCTCCCGAAGTAAGGAACTGGGGCAACACTATGTTGCCGCTTGAGGCGGCATTTGCTCACGACGCCCACGTGGCCCTGGACGGGGCCCCACGCCCGCGGCATCGGAGCTCATGCCAGGTCTCATCGAGCCACCTCCGGCAGGACGAGTTTTTTGTTGCTTGTGCTTCGTTGTTTGTGTTCTGTCTCTCGCGCTCTCTCGCTCTCTTTCTCTCTCTCTCTCTCTTTCTCGTTTCCTCCAGTTTCTTATCCCCCCCCTCCCCCTCGAGGAGGAATATGGGGAAGGAGGGGAGGAGCCAGAGCAGCAGCAGGAGAAGGAGGAGGAGAGCTTCGACCGAGCCGACGCACACGCCCAGGAGGTGGGCGCGATGCCGACCTCCGCCACCAACTCGCCAAGACCGCCAGGACCCCGCCGCCGCCGGCGCCTGCCGCCGCCGCCGCCGAGGCCGACGACGCCGACGACGCCGCTGCCGCCGGCGCCGACGCCGTGGGCTCGGTGGCGTCGTCGGCTTTTGCTGGCGCGCTGTCCGCCCAAAGTTCCCTGGGCTCCTGCTCCGGGGTGGAGGGTTTCTCCGAAGGGCTTGGGCGACCCGTCCTCCTCCTTCTCCTCCTCCTCCTCCTCCTCCCTCCTCCTCCTCCCTCCTCCCTCCTCCTCCTCCTCCTCCCCCTCCTCCTCCTCCTCCTCCTCCTCCTCCCTCCTCCTCCCTCCTCCTCCCCCTCCTCCTCCTTCCTCCTCCTCCTCCTCCTCCTCCTCCTCCTTCTCCTCCTCCTCCGCTCGCCTACGGCCCGGGGGGAAACAGTGCAGCCCCGCCCCTGGAGAGGTGGCCGCCGTGCTGTTGGCCGCCACCGCCGCTGGTCGTCGTCGTCGTCGTCGTCGTCGTCGTCGAAATCAGGGTGCAAGTCGTAGCGTGCGCCGGGGGCCGCCGCCGCGGCACGCTGTGCAAGACCTCCGTCGACGCCGTGGCTTTTGTTCGCAGCGTGGCTCCTCGCAGGCTTAGACCCCTTCCCCGGGACGGGCTCATCCTCCCGAGTGCTATTTTGATGGCCCTGGGGCCCAGCGGGGCCACAGGAGGCCTAAAATGTCCAAAAACCTTTCGTCGCGATTCGTTTCACGACGCGAGGAGCTCAGGGACCCTTCACCCTCACTTCCTGGACCCCCCTCCTCGGCGAAGCCGACGACCTCCTTTCTCCGCGGACGACTTGTGTGCACCGTATCGCGTTGGCGCCTCCCGAGGTGTCGTAATTAGATCCTCGACCCAGGAATGGTACGGCGCATAGTTCTTTCGGCCTCTGGAGCCGTAAGAACTACGCACCCCACCGCACTGCGGCGGGGCCTGAACGGAGTCCAGATATGGCGCGGTGCATGTCGACCAGGAACCAATCGACACCACCTCACCTGCGACCCGCTGGTGGGTCGCAGGTCTGGTGATGTTGTGCCTGAGCTCTCAGCATCGCGAGGTCTTCAGGCGGGGTCGGTGTCGTTCGATCTCTGGTCCAGCGTGGGCGCCGTTTTCGTACTCTCCGCCCGCGGCCGCGCGGCTTGCCGCCGCCGCCCTCGGGCGCACCCCCCCCCGCCCCCGCGAGAACGCCAGCAGTCTCACGGAGGCGCCACCCGCCAGCTGCCCGCTCCGCGCTCGTTGCGGCGGGGGCGAGCGGGGTGGGGTTGGGGGAGGGAGGAGGGGGGTTGCGCCAGGAGGGCGGAGGGAGGGAAGGGAGGAGAGAGAGAGTGGGGGAGGGCGGGATGGGGAGGAGGAGGAGGAGGAGAAGGAGGAGAAGGAGGAGGAGGAGGCAGAGGAGGAGGAGGACGAGGAGGAGGAGGAGGAGGATGAGGAAGAGGAAGAGGAAGAGGAGGACTGAACGAATAAAGGCGGTATTCAGAGAGGGAGGGAGTTGGGTCGACGACGATGATGGTAATGACGACGGCGATGACGACGATGACGATGCTGCTGATGATGATGCTGATGGTGATGATGGTGATGATGATGATGATGATGATGATGATGATGATGATGATGATGCAGATGATGATGATGGTGATGATGATGATGAGGCTGATGATAATGACCATGCTGATGATGCTTATTATTGTACTGATGATGATGACGATGTTGATGCTGATGATGATGGTTATGATGATCACCATGAAGGTGATTGCAATGATCGCGATGCTGCTGCTGACGATACGGATGATGAAGGCGACGAACATGACGATACTGATGATAATAGCGATGTTGCTGCTGATGACGATGGCGATTCTGCTGATGCTGTTGATGCTGCTGCTGATGATGATGCTGATGCTGATGACGTTGATGATGATGGTGATTATGTTGATGATGATGGTGCTGCTGATGCTGCTGCTCGCACTGATGATGATGATGAAGATGTTGATACAGCTGAATATGATGATGCTGCTGCTGATGATGATGCTGATCACCATGACTGTGATGGCGATGATGGCGATGCTGCTGCTGACGATAACGATGATGATGGTGACGGACATGATGATAATGATGGTAATAGCGATGCTGCTGCTGCTGAATATGCTGGTGATTATGATGATGATGCTGTTGCTGCTGCTGATGATGATGCTGATGATGCTGCTGATGGTGGTGATGGTGGTGGTGGTGAAGGTGCTGATTGTGGTGGTGATGATGCTGCTGCTGATGATGATCATCATGGTGATGGTGATGGTGGTGGTGGTGATGATGATGGTACTGTTGAGGATGCTGGTGAGGATGACGATGACGATTGTGATGGCGGTGGTGGTGGTGGTGGTGGTGGACGTATGATGATGGTGGTGGGTGTGATGGTTGTCGTGGTGGTGGCGACAGCGAGGAAAATGAAGAGGTAGACGAGCACGAGGACGAGGATGATGAAGAGTGGAGGGGAAAGAGGATGATGAGGAGGAGCAGACGTGGTGACGCAGTCTGCAGTTCCGAGTTTCGAGCAGGAGCAGGAGAAAGGAGACAGGAGGGTGGAGGATGGGGACCAGCATCAGCAATAAGGAGGATCGACGATCGAGGTCATTGGTTTTGCTTGTTTGTTTGCTTGTTTGTTTGTTTGTTCGTTGTTCGTTGTTATTGTTGTTGTTGAGATCTTGGAGGCTTCTCGTCGAGATTGCCACGGCTGGATTCCCTTGAATTTCCACGGCGGGACGCGTCCCTGTAGATGTCCAGAGCCGACTTCTGATGAGGGAGGAGCAGGAGGATGAGTAGTGGGAGGGAGGAGGACAAGGCGATGAGGGAGTGGAACTAATATAGATGATTATGCTGTGGGCGCTAAGGATCATGATGACATTGGTGGCGGTGTTCATGACGATTGTGACGCTGATGATCGTGGTGGTGATGTGCCGATGGTGCTGATGCGGCTAATGATGGGGATGGCGATGACGATGGTCATTATGATGCTGACGAGTTTGCTGCTGCAGATGATGACGGTTGCGATTATGTTGGCGGTGGTGGAGCAGATTCCGATGATGACGGTGTTGCTGCTGCTGATGATGATAACGATGATGATGCTGATGATGATGACGACGATGATGATGATGATGATGATGATGATGATGATGGTGATGATGATGGTGATTATGTTGTTGTTGATGATGTTGCTGCTGCTGATGACGATGCTGATGATGTTCATGATGATGACTCGGATGCGGAGGTGATAGTGCTGTCTTTGTCGATGGTGATGATGGCGAGAATGCTGGTGAGCACGATGTTGGTTCTGTAGTTGTTGCGGATGGCGATGATGCGACCATGACAGGTGTTGTTGAAGTCTCACTGCTAGAGAATAATTATTGTTGATCCTTCCTCTGGTGCATTTGGTGTTTTTTTTTGAATTGAACCTGCATGCCCAATGGACTCTGGAGCCGGCTGGGCTCTGAGGTGGCCCGGGGGCGAGATTTCAGGTTTTGTGCTCGAGCATGTTTCTGGTTGCTGTCGAGACCAAGGGTTGTCGAGCAGGCGTTCGGGGCTCCCGGACCCTCCACAAACTGCGCCAGATGGACCCCGGGAGGGGTCCGGGGCAGATCCTGAGCGTACCCATCGGTCGTTGAAAGTAGGTATTTTTGGATTCCCAGATTCCAATATACTTTCAGTGCCTTCCTACTTCAAGAGTCGAGTGGTTTCCCCTCTTCCTTCCTCTTCAGGAGGCGGGCGGAAGCCCAATCTATTTCCAACGCCTTCCTACTTCCTGTTTCTACCTACTTCTTCCGACCGATGGGTACTGTCCTTGCTCCTTTCTCCTTGACAGATGCTTCTCTCGGGGCAGTCCATACATACCACCCCGCCGCCTCCGGCGTGGGCCCCCCCGAGGTCGGGAGGCGCTCCCTGGGACTGGCGTCTCCTCCCTGGGCCGTGGTCTGGACGGCCCCGGGGCCTGGCGAGGGCCCCCCCCGATCCCGGAAATGGTGCAAGACGGTCCAGCCCCAGACCCCCTCGCGTCGTGAAAAAATCACGACGGGAAGTTTTTCGCTATTTTCGGCCTCTGGGGGCCCCCACCGGGCCTCGGGAGCGTCAAAAAACGACTCAGGATGCAAAGCCGGTCATGGGGAAAGGGTCGGGACCTCTGGGGGTCGACGTAATGAAAAAATCATGACGTCGGGGGTCTGGGGCGTGTGTTTCTTTCGCGACGCAGCAGGCGGGGCATGGGATGGAAAAGAGCGCCACGCCCCGTCGCCCCTAGCGAGAGGTCCCCCGGAGGCCGAAAAGGGCTGAAGACCTCGGGTCGGTGCTTTTCCACAGCACGAGGAGGCGGGGGCCTCCTCCGTTGTGCGGTCCTTCATGCATGGGAGCCTCAGAGGGTCCCACAATTCCTTGCGGTTTGGGGGATTCCGTCCAGATCTCGTCGAATTTGGTCGACATCTGGACGACAGGGTGGTCGAAATCTGCTCGAAAAAGAGGTCGAACTCTGGACGGAATCTGGTCGAAGCCGCGTGTATGATGGGGCCGTGGCGGTCCACGGAGGCTCCCACGAAGGCCCACCCATCGGCGTTACCCCAACATGCGCATACTATATGTGCGTCGCCCCCCCATGGGTGACGCGCGCACCGAGAAATCTTACTGTATGAGCGTCGTGGCGGGCGCTTTCTGGCCACAGCGCTCGGGAAAGCACATACCAAAAAGATGGGTCTACCCCATATGCGCTCGGGTCGGACGCGCGCTCCGAGGAGGGCGCGCAGTACTACGGTAGAGGGAAGCAATTAGTGAACACCCCCCCTGCCCCCCAAACTCAAAGTTGGCACGCGGGGGGGAGACTGCGGTCGAGGTGCAACTCATCAGACCCACCGCCAACTTTGAACATTGGGGGAAGGGGGAGGCGTTCACAGATGAATGTGGCATGAGTGTTCGCTAATCTTTTCCGAGGCCTGTAGCATGTCTCCTGTGCGTCCCGGCCCAGCTTCCGCCGCCGCCCCCCGCCCCGAGCGCTGTCCGCCAACGGCAGCGGCGAGGGCAGCCTGAAGAAGGCGGTGAGCCTGAGCTGGAGCGACCACTCCGCGGACGCGAGCACGGCCCGCCGCCCGCCCGCCTCTCGGGCCGCCGGCGGCGGCGAGGGGCCCAGCGCCGGCACGGTCGAGGGGAGGAGGAGGAGGAGGAGGAGGAGGAGGAGGAGGAGGAGGAGGAGGAGGAGGAGGAGGAGGAGGAGGAGGAGGAGGAGGAGGAGGAGGAGGAGGAGACGGCGACGTTGCTACGGCGGCGACGATGACCTCCGAGAGCCTCCGAGAGCCTCGGAGGACTTCAAGGGACCTCCGAGAGGCCCCCCAAAAACCGACGAGCACCGACGAAAACCGACGACGACAGAAGACGACGAGCGGCGACGCTGACGACGACGGCGGCGAGTGGCGACGTTGACGACAACGACGTCGACGAGTGATGACGGCGGCGAGCGACGTTGACGAAGACGACGACGGGCGGCGCGACGACGACGACGAGCGGCGGCGTGGGTGGCGATCGGCGGCGAGCGGCAGCGGCGAGGCGAACAGCGCCAGCTCCCTCGACCGCAAGGCGGGCGCCAAGGCCCAGGTCGTCGGCCCAGTCTCAAAGGCCCGCCTGCCGCTCGTCGTCGTCGTCGTCGTCGTCGTTGTCGTCGTCGTTGTCGTCGTCGTCGTCGCTGTCGCCGTCGTCGCCGTCGCCGTCGCCGTCGCCGTCGCCGTCGTCGTCGCCGTCGCCGTGATCGCCGTCGTCGTCGTCGTCGTCGGTCGGCGTCGTCGTCGTCGGTCGGCGTCGTCGTCGTCGTCGTCGGTCGTCGTCCTTGTCGTCGTTGTCACCGTCGTTGTCGTCGCCGTCTTCGTCTTCATCGTCGTTGTCGTCGTCGGCGTCGCTCGAGGGTCGAGGATCGGGGGATGCTTCTTTTCGGGCATGTTCATGCCATTTTTGGCGCGTTTCAGCCTCTATGGGGTTTCTGGTGGCCTCCAGAGGCCTCCAGTTGCAGGGATGTTGTCGTCGATTTTCGAGGGTTTTCGTAGGTTCCCTATTTTGTGAAAGGCTCCTGGAGGTCGTCATCGTATTCGTCGTCGTCGTCGTCGGTCGTTGGTCGTCAGTCGTCGTCTTCGTCTTCGTCGTCGTCGTCGTCGTCGTCGTCGTCGTTCGTCGTCGCCGTCGCCGTCGTCTTCGTTGTCGTCGTCGTCGCCGTCGTCGTCGGTCGGCGTCGTCGCCGTAGCCGTCGTCTTCGTCGTCGCCGACATCGACGACGACACCGTCGTCGTCGTCGCCGTCGCCGTCGCCATCGCCATCGCCGTGATCGCCGCCGTCGTCGTCGTCGTCGTCGTCGTCGTCGTCGTCGTCGTCGTCGTCGTCGTCGTCGTCGTCGGTCGGTCGGTCGGTCGTTCGGTCGGTCGTCGTCGGTTTCTGTAGTTTTCCTGTTTTCGGAGCCTCCCGGAGGTCGTCGTCGCCGTCGTCGTCGACGACGACCACGGGCGGCGACGACGACAGCGACGACTGCGATGACCACGACTTCGATGACGGCGACGGGCGTCGACGACGACGGCGGCGCTGGCGGCGACGACGAGGGGCGGCGACGGCGACGACGTCGACGTCGGCGGCTGCGGCGGTGGAAGGCGCGGGACATCCTGCGGCGAAGCGCCCTTGCCAGCACCAACGATATCATCGAGCGGAAGATCATCAAAGAGGCGCGGCCGCCCCGTCGTCGTCGTCGTCGTCGTCGTCGTCGTCGTCGTCGTCGTCGTCGTCGTCGTCGTCGTCGTCCTCCTCCTCCTCCTCTCCTCCTCCTCCTCCTCCTCCTCCTCCTCCTCCTCCTCCTCCCCCGCCCCCTTCTCCTCCTCCTCCTCCTCCTCCTCCTCCTCCTCCTCCTCCTCTTTCGCAGGCCTCCCGACCCTGCGGTCGGGAACTCTGGATGGTGTGTCGCTCCGCCAGTTCTGGCCCACCGCGCTTCGGGCTCGACGCGCTATCCGCTTCCCAGTCACCCCAGCGCCCACGGCCTGTCTCCAGCCCCTCGGAGCGAAGCATATTGCGTGTCGCCGGGGCCGCCGTGGCGACACGCTGAGCAAAAGTTCCCGACCGTAGACCCTCGATGCTCTCATTGCCGATCCCTCGGCTACGCGTAGCGGGGGGTATGGGGGAGGGGGGAAGGCTTCTTAGAAGGAGGCTGCTTCTTCGAAGGCGAGATGTCAGGCAGGCGCCTTCTAAGAAGCAGCCTCCTTCTAACAAGCCCTCCCCCTCTCCCCCTACTCCCCTTGAGCCCCGGCCAATTGATGCTCCCACCCCCATGGATGTGGGCGGATGCGGGCCCCCTGGGGCCAGAGTGTATCCATATCCGCCGCCCGCTGGGGCCCCAGGACGTCGCATTTATATCCCCGCCTCGCACCATCTCGAAGAACAGAGAACGGCATAACCACAAACCTTCGATGGTCTGCGCGGATTCCTTGGATCCGCGCGGGGTCCCCCTGGCGGCGCCTCTGGCGCGCCCCGCGCGCCACTGACGGGGGACCAGCGCAAATCCAAGGAATCCGCGCGGACGGTCAAACGTTTATGTTTATGCCGTTGCTTGTTCCTCTCGGGACGTCGCGTATACATCCTGCCCTCGCACCATTGCCCCAGAGGTCCTGACCCCTCCCCCAGTTGTGGTTATTCCATCGCAGATCCATTTTTGATGGTCCCCTTGCCCGATAACGGGCCCACGAGGCCGAAATCTAGGACAAACCGCTGGACGGACAAACATCAGATCCTTGGCTCTCTGGGCCCCCGCCTCGCACCATTGCCGATCCCTCGTTCCGGAGCCCGCCGGAACGCTCTCAGAGAGCGTTCCGCAGCGCTCTGAGAGGCCGCGGCGCCTCCGAGGCATCCTCCAGAGCCGCCCGACCTCAGAGGCTCCTCCTCCTCCTCCTCCTCCTCCTCCTCCTCCTCCTCCTCCTCCTCCTGGCTCCTCCTTCTCGCTCCTCCTCCTCCTCCTCCCCTTCTCCTCCTTCTCCTTCTCCTCCTCCTCGCTCCTCCTCCTCGCTCCTCCTCCTCGCTCCTCCTCCTCGCTCCTCCTCCTCCTCCTCCTCCTCGTCGTCGTCGTCCTCCTCCTCCTCCTCCTCCTCGTCCTCCTCCTCCTCCTCCTCCTCCTCCTCCTCTTGATTTTTCCTCGACCGATTCTGTCCTCGTCCAGGCTTCGTCTGACATGCATCCCCTCCTCGCACTTGGCATCGCTCGCACGTGTGACCTCTTTTCTCGGAGAGGACCATCGAGGAGCACCTCGAGCCATGTTGCGAACAACGCACGCGCGAAGCCGAGCAGTGCGCGGGGAACTGTTCGGCTTCGTGCGTGCGTTGTTCGGCTTAGTTCGTGCGTTGCTCGCGAGAGGAGTCCAGGATGCTCCTCGAGAAAAGAGGCACTCGTCCGAGCGATGCCAAGTGCGAGGCGTGGATGTATGTAAGACGAAGCCAGGACGAGGACAGGCGAGCGGAGGAGGGAACGAGGAAGGAGGAGGAGAGGAGGAGGAGGAGGAGGAGAGGAGGAGGAGGAGGAGGAGGAGGAGGAGGAGGAGGGAAGGAGGAGGAGGAGGAGGAGGAGGACAAGGGAGCGAGGAGCGAGGAGCGAGGATCGAGGAGGAGAGGAGGAGGAGGAGGAGTGAGGAGGAGGAGGAGGAGGAGGGGAGGAGGTGGAGGAGGAGGAGGAGGAGGAGGGATGAGGAGGAGGAGAGGAGGAGGAAGCGAGAGGAGCGAGGAGGAGCGAGGAGGAGCGAGGAGGAGCGAGGAGGAGGAGGAGGAGGAGGGGAGGAGGAGGGGAGGAGGAGGAGGAGGAGGAGGAGGAGGGAGGAGGACGGAGGAGGAGGAGGAGGAGGAGGAGGAGGAGGAGGAGGAGGGAGGAGGAGGAGGAGGAGGAGGAGGAGGGGAGGAGGAGGAGGAGGAGGAGGAGGGGAGGAGGAGGAGGAAGGGAGGAGGAGGAGGAGGAGGAGGGAGGAGGAGGAGGAGGAGGAGGAGGGAGGAGGAGGTGGGAAGGAGGAGGAGGAGGAGCTAGGAGGAGGAGGAGGAGAGGAGGAGGAGAGGAGGAGGAGGAGGAGGAGGAGAGGAGGAGAAGGAGGAGGAGGAGGAGGAGGAGGAGGAGCGAGGAGGAGGCGAGGAGGAGCGAGGAGGAGGAGGAGGAGGAGGAGGAGGACGAGGAGGAGGAGGAGGAGGAGGAGGAGGCTGAAGCTGGTCCTCGCAGCTATGGGGGACCGAGGAGGCTAAGTCTCAGCCGCTGGAAGACGGAGGCGATCAGAATCGGGAGCTCGATCGTCGCGGGCTGCGGGTACGCCACGACGCTCCTGAGGGTCGTGCTCCTCACCGCGATGGACGCGGTCATGGCCCAGTGGACGTCGCTGCGGGCCTACGTGGTCGTCGACGACATCACGCTGGCCGTTTACGGGAAGCTCAGGGACGTGGAGTTCACGGCCTTCGGCGCGACCAGAGACCTCTGTCAGAGGCTGGAGGCGCTGGGGCTCAAGGTGTCCCTGACGAAGGGCAATATCGTGAGCAGCGACGAGAGTGCAGGACGGCGCGCGGCCCACCGACTGCGGCGCTGGGACTTCAGGCTGCGTCGGGCGGTCAAGAGCCTGGGCGTCGACTTCGGCATGAAGCCCAGGGCGTCTTGGTCGGTGCTGAGGAGCCGCATGGCTCGGCTGGCCGTCCGCTCGTCACGCTACATGGCGCTCAGGCGGGCGGGCGTCAAGCTGGACAGGATCTTCAGGAGTGGCGGGCTGGCCTCGGTCCTCCACGGAGCTCGGGTCGTCGGGGTCCCGACGGCGATGCTCGAGAAGGCCAGGGCGGTCAACGGCCAGGCGCTGGCGGGGGCAGTGGGCAGCAAGAGCAGAACGCTGCAGTTCGCGCTGCAGCCCGACCAGGGCTGGAAGGCGGACCCCGTCTTCGCGGCCAACAGTCTACCACTGGAGGCGTGGGCCAAGGCGGTCTTCCTTGGCCTGCGCAGCGACGGGAGCCTCGAGAAGGCCTTCAGCGCGGCGGAGCCAGAATCCTGGGGCCAGGTGCGAGGACCCGCCGACGCAGTCAAGCTCACCCTCCGCAGGATAGGGTGGGAGCCTGCCGCTGCGGCTGGCTGGAGATGCTGGGTCACGGACACTGGGGAGCAGCTCGACCTGAAGGTCTACAGCCCCAGGAGGATGCGGCTGTTCATCGGGGCGGGGATCCAGCGCTCGTTGATGTTGAGGTTGCACAGCGAGCACCTGGAAGGAGCGCTAGGCGGGCCGCCGACTATCCTGGTCACCCAGCGGGCGGTCGCGGCGCTGCGCAGGCAGGGAGACAGCGAGCAGGTGGCGCTGTTCGAGGCGCTGGTCTGCGGCGGCCTGGTGACGGAAGCTGATCTGTACCGCGAACGGGCAGTGCTCAGGCCTGAGTGCAGGCTGTGCGGCGCGGAGCCAGGGACGCAGAAGCACCGCCTGTTCTGCTGCGACGGCACCAGCGGAATCGCGGCGGCCATGGACCTGGAGCAGGTCAGGAGAGCAGGCGCGGCAGCCCCCGACGGCGACATCGGGCTCGTCAGGTGCCTGGTCAGCCTCGGCCTGGAGAGGGCTCCGAGGCCTGCGGAGCAGGAGGATTGCCGCCGAGCAGGTGCCCTCATCGGAGGACTGGCCTTCGGCGCGGTCTGCATCGATGGCTCGGCGATGGCCCCAGAGGTCAAGGAGCTCACCAGGAGCGGATGGGCCTGCATCATGGTGGAGGCTGACGGCACCATCACGGGCGGGATGTTCGGAAGTGTTCCAGGGCCCGTCCAGGAGAGCGGCTACGCCGAGCTCTACGCGCTGGTGCGAGCGCTCAGGGAAAAGGGCCCCCAGCTGGATGTGGTCACGGACTACCTGCGGCTGGTGGAAGACTACGAAAGAGGAGAGGACTGGTGCCAGGGCCCCGAGTCGATCTACGCCGACCTGTGGAAGGAGGCCTGGAGGCACATCAGAGACTTGGGGCCAGAGGCGTTCCGCCTACGCTGGGTCCGAGCCCACACCAGCTGGGCCGCGGCAGCATCGGCGGGGACGCCCTGGGCCTGGCACCGCGGCAACATATGCGCGGACAGCAAGGCCAAGGAGGGCGCCAGGCTGCACCCGTCGTTCGATGCCGTGATGGAGAGGGTGAGCAGGGTGAGCGCGGCCACACGTGCCGCGGAGTTGATCGCCGCCCATCATGGAGCGGTCTTGAAAAGGTTGGCAGGCCTAGGCTGGCCAGATCGGAGCCCCCTCCCCCGCCCCAGGCAGTCCCGCAATTCTGTCGTCCTTGTTTCGGGCGAGCGTGGGCACTCGCTTCTGAAGTTTGGACGGGCCTGGGGATATAAAATCTGCGGGGTTCGTAAGGGTCTCCGATCTCGGATTGTTTCGTTTCCCTGCCCAGGAGTGCCTCGGCCCGCGGCGATCGCCCACCCCTCCCATAAGCTCTGGGTGGTGCGTGGGGACGGGGGTCGGGGGCCTGGTGACGAGGCTAATGGGAGGGGGCTGATCGTCTTCTGTAAAGTCTGCGGAGCCTACGCCAGAAGACAGGTCCACGACCTCGGTCGCCCCTGCCGCCCCTTCGCTTCCCGTCCTCGGTCGGCGGCCCGTTTGGCCAGAATGGCGTTGGGGCGACTGAGGTCGGGACGGGAGCCCCAGTCCAACAGGTTCTGGGGGCTCCCTTTCCCCCTCTTCGGCGCCCCGTTCGGCGGAGGGCCCAACGAAGGGCTCGACGGGGGGGAAAATTCGTCGGGGCCCGAGGTCGAGGAGGCATAGGCTTCCCGCTTCGGATCGGTCCTGCTCGGCAGCAGGTAGAGCTAGTTCGGCTGGGGCTGCTGGACTTGCTTTGGTAGGACACTGAGGACACTGAGGAGGAGGAGGAGGGGGATGAGGAGGAGGAGGAGGAGGAGGAGGAGGAGGAGGAGGAGGAGAGGAGGAGGAGGAGGAGGAGGAGGAGAGGAGGAAGGAAGGAGGAGGAGGAGGAGGAGGAAGGAGAGGAGAGGAGGAGGAGGAGGAGGAGGAGGAGGAGAGGAGGAGGAGGAGGAGGAGGAGAGGAGGAGGGGAGGAGGAGGGAGGAGGAGGAGGAGGAAGGAGAGGAGAGGAGTGAGGAGAGGAGGAAGGAGGAGCGAGGAGGAGGGGACGTCCGAGCGATGGCGGGTCGCACCATCGCCGATCTCCCTGTCCTTCGGGCCTCCGGGCCCTCGTGCCGCGGCCCCTGCTCGGCCCCCCCCCCCCGGCGGCCCTCCTCGGCGCCCGCCGTCTGCAGCGGCGGGGCGCGGCGGCGGAGGGGAGGGCGCCGTCGGCAGGCGGCCGCCGGCGGCCTCCGTGCGCAACCTGGAGCCTGTTTTTTTTTAGACTCTGGCAAGTTTACTTGCATGGACGGGGGGGGGGGGCTGAGCCTGAAGCAAGCCGCAAACGACTTGCACGTTCGGGGGGGCGCGGAAATCACGCAAGTCGAAAGGCACTTGCACGCTAGTATTCGCTTGAAGAGGGGCGGGGGGGGGGGGAACGCCATGCAAGTAAACTTGCCTGAATCCAAAAAAACAGGCTCCTGGGTCCCTGGGCTCCGATCCTCCAGACAGCACCAGCCGAGGGCCCGTCGGCCCTCCGGCACAGTCTCTCCTCTTCCGAGGAGGGGGAGGTCGAGGATGGGGCCGGACGAGAAGGGGGGGGGTTGGGAAAGGGGGGGTCACGAAATCTGCTGCACGCAGCTGGTTTCGGCCCCACCGAGGGGCCGATTCCTCGATACATGGCCGCCTCCGGCGCCGGGAGGCGCCGGGGAAATCAGCGACGTGAGCTGATTCTCAGACCCCCCCTTTGCTATCCCCCCCCTTTCGCCCGGCCCGAGAGGGCCCGTGGTCTGGGGATCTGTTGCTCGAAGTTGTGGTTACGCACGCGCGCGCGCACAGCGCCTTGTCGCTTCCACCCCTTGTGCTGCTTCGTTCCTCGCTCCCCCTGCCCCTCGTCTTTGGGCCTCCGAGCTTCCCGGGCACGCTCGTGCGGGCGGCCTCCTCCTGGTCACGCCGCCTGGATGTGCAGCGAACGCTGGCGGCCGACGTCTGGAGGAACGAGCTGTTGGTGTCGTGTTTGCGGCGAAAAAGCACTCGCTTGTGGCGGAGTCTCTTTTGTTCAGTCCGGGTCTCTTTCTCGTACTTCGGCTTCTGGATGCCGCTTTTTCGGGACCCTGGGACATCGAAGATGGATCCGATAAGAGAAACTGCCCCTCAGGAGGAGGTCGAGAGCTCAGGGCCCGCTGAGTGAAAGAACCAGTCCGTGGGACGTCTCGGTCTGGGCCTTCGGCAGACACCAGAAGGGGGAGGGCGCAGAGGGGGGAAGGAATCAAGCTAGAGGTGCGCTCGCGCCATATCTGACATCCTAGTTATCCCTTCCTCCCATCCCTTCCTATTGCGCTGACCTTTTCGCCCACGCGTTTCATAGCCGACCTGGATCTCCACAAGAGACCCCATTTGTGTCATGCGCAGGCGGAAAAGGGAAACTTGTGGGACATGTGCGATCTGGGCGACCTCTGTGGCCTATGGGGCCTGTGGAACCTGCGACACCTGTGGGACCTGCGGAAGCTGTGGGACCTGTGAGACCTGCGAAACCTGTGGGACCCGTGGCACCGGCGGGACCTTCGGGACCTGAGGGTTTGGGGGACCTCTGTGGGACCTGTGAGACATTTGCCACCTCTGGGACCTGTGGGACTTGCGGGGCCTTTCGGTCCTCTGCGACCTGCTGGGCATGTGAGACCTGCGGGGTCCCGTGGGACCCGTGGAACCTGTCAGACCAGTGGTGCCTGTGGGACGACCTGCGCCACTTGTGGGCATGTGGGACCTTTGGGACCTCAGAACCTGTGAGACCTGCGAGACCTGTGGAACCTGCTAGATCTGTGGGGCCCAGAAGAGTGGCCCACGCTGGGGCGAGAGCGCCATTCTGAACTACGGGAGCACAGCGCCGGTCCGAAAAAGAGGGCCACGCTGCAGCGATGACACCATTTTTGCAAACACTATAAGCAGTTGTGATTGTAGAAACTACAGTAGAAACTATATGACAAGCCATTTCGCGCAAATCCTATGTGTACGAAAATAATTGGACGCGGGGGGGGCGAATACTCTCACTTTTTTCTTGGCCCCATTTTCCCCCCCCCCCCCCCCCCTTCCCCCTCTTCCTCCCCTCTCCCTCCTCCGCCCCCCCGCGCGCGGAGGAGGAGGAAGGAGGAGGAGGAGGAGGAGGAGGAGGAGGAGAGGAGGAGACGAGGAGGAGGAGGAGGAGAGGAGGAGGAGGAGGAGGAGGAGGAAGGAGGAGGAGGAGGAGGAGGAGGAGGAGGAGGAGGAGGGAGAGGAGGGGAAGGAGGAGGAGGAGCGGAGATGAGGAGAGGATGAGGAGGAGGCAGGAGAGGGAGGAGAGAGGAGGAGGAGCGGGAAGAGGAGGAGGAGGAGGCGAGGGAGGAAGGAGGAGGAGGGGAGGAGGAGGAGGAGAGGAGGAGGAGGAGAGGAGGAGGAGGGGGAGAGGAGGAGGAGGAGGAGGAGAGAGGAGGGGAGGAGGAGGAGGAGGAGGAGGGGGAGCAGGAGGGGAGGAGGAGGAGGAGGAGGGGAGGAGGAGGAGGAGGAGAGGAGGAGGAGGAGGAGGAGGGAGAGGAGGAAGGAGCAGGAGAGAGGAGGAGGGGGGTGGAGGGGAGGAGGAGGGGAGGGGAGGAGGAGAGGAGGAGGGGAGGAGGAGGAGGAGGAGGAGGAGAGGAGGAGGAGGAGGAGGAGGAGAGAGGGGGAGGAGGAGGAGGGAGAGAGGAGGAGGAGGAGGAGAGGAGGAAGGAGGAGGAGGAGGGGGAGCAGGAGGAGGAGGAGGAGGGGAGGAGGAGGAGGAGGAGGAGGAGAGGAGGAGGAGGAAGGAGGAGGAGGAGGAAGAGGAGGAGGAGGAGGAGGAGGAGAGGAGGAGGAGGAGATGAGAGGAGGGAGGAGGAGGAGGAGGACCAGGAGCAGGAGCCGAGCAGGAGGAGGAGGAGGAGGAGGATGAGCATGAGGAGGAGGAGGAGGAGGAGGAGGAGGAGGAGGAGGAGGAGGAGGAGGAGGAGGAGGGGAAGCAGGAGCAGGAGCAGGAGCAGGAGGAGGAGGAGGAGGAGGAGGACCAGTTTTGCTTGCTCGGGGAGGCGCTCACGGAGAGTAAGCGGCGCTGGGGCAATTGCATGATGCTCCCCGTCATGTGGTTCTTCTTCATCTTCTACGCCCTCGCGGCATCCATCATGGAGGAGCGCCGCCCCGCGGCGCCCCGCGCCCCGTGCTCTCCCCCCCTCCGCCGCGCTCTCGCCTCGAGCTGGCCCGTCCCCTGGGTCGTCGTCGTCGTCGTCGTCGTCGTCGTCGTCGTCGTCGTCGTCGTCGTGTGCTCAGGAGTCGCGCTCTCGCTCTGTTCTTCGTTGCGATTTGCTTGGGAAATTGCGCTCTCCCCTGGGACCTCCCCAGAATTCGTTCAGGAATCGCGCTCCCGCTCGCTCAGAACTTCCAGCTTGTTAGGGACCGCTCAGTTGACGGCTTGGAAACCCACCCGCCTGGTTTACGGACAGGGACTTCTGGATAGCGTGTCGCTCCGCCGGTTCTGGCCCAGCACTCCTCGGTGCGAGACGCTGTCCACCTCCCAGTCCCCAGGCGTCCACGTCCAGAGCCCTTCAAAGCCTCCCGCCCCGCGGGGCGGAGCGACGCGCTGTCCGCTTGCACGGCACGGCGTGTCGCCGGGGCCGCTGCCGGGACACGCCATCCAAACGTTCCTGACCGTCCTGTTCCACCCGCCCCCGGCCCGCCCGCGAGCCTCCGCCGCCGGATCCGCCTCCAAAGCCCGCCCGCCTGGCTCGCTTCTCTGGCACTTTCGGGCATGTTTCCAGGAGTTGGCATGAACAGAGTGAAGTCCCCTAGAGGGGGCACGTTCATGAACGGGGAGTCCTGAAATTGTTGTAGTTGAGCCTTCGCTGCAAGTTGACTGTTCTTGTTGAGCCCCCTCTGTGCGCTTTGCCTCGGCCCTGGCTACGTTTTTTTGTGCTAGCGGGGCTCACGCTCAAGCGTTTCGGGGCTGCTCCGAAACCAGGTCCCCAGCTTGACAAGGCGTCTGCTCGATATTTCCTGATTTGTTACTCAGGACTGGCGCTCTTGCTCGCCGTCGGAAACTGGCCCTCTGAAAACTGGCACTCCTGCTCAATACATAATCTCCTTCTACCCAGGAGAGGCTCTTTCGCCTCGGACAACAATAACGACTTCGCTCGATACCTCCTTCTTTCTTGCTCAGGAGTGGTGCTCTTGTTCGCAGTCGAAAGCGGGCCCTCTAGCAGAAACAGGGCTCCAGATCGGTACTTCCTTTCCTTTGGATCAAAGAGGCGCTCATGCCTCGGCGTTGCAAACTGGTTCATCTTACAACAGCAACAACGACAACAACAGCAACAACAACAACAATAGTAACGACATCATCAACAACAGCAGCAGCAACAACAAAAACACCAACAACGACAACAGGAACAACAACAGCAGCAACAACAATTTCCCGCCGGAGAATCAGTGCTTTTTTGCTCAGGCTGGCGCTCTTGCTTGCCGTCGAGAACCGGCCCTCCAACAACACCAGCGCTCCCGCCCGGTAATTTCTTTCGTTTGACTGGGGAGAGGCGACTTCGCCTCAGCGTGGCAAACTGGTCCTCCCCTTTCTTCTCGGGACTGGCGCTCCTGCTCGCTGTCGATGACCGGACTCGCGCTCCCGCTCGGCGCGTCTGCGTCTTTCAGTCAGGAGAAGCGCTTTCGCGTTGCAAGCTGCCCCCCGCAACAACGCCTCAGCTCGGTACTTCCATACTTTTTACCCTGAGCTGGGGGATTTCGGGGCATCTTGCAAGGGAAGACGAAGGGGGGAAGAGTAGGAGGAGGAGGAGGAGGAGGAGGAGGAGGAGGAGGAGGAGGAGGAGGAGGAGGAGGAGGAGGAGGAGGAGGAGGAGGAGGAGGAGGAGGCGCAGGAGGAGGAGGAGGAGGAGGAGGAGGAGGAGGAGGAGGAGGAGGAGCAGGACGAGGAGAAGGAGGAGGAAAAGGAGAAGGAAAAGGAGGAGGATGAGGAGGAGGAGGAGGAGGAGGAGGAGGAGGAGAAGGGCGAGGAGACTGGCCCTGCAACGGAACCCCGGCGCCCTCGCCCAGTGTGTCTGCTCTCTCTGCCCAGGACGTGGCGCTCCCGCCTCGGCGCCACCAAACGGGTCCCCCTGCGATGAGAACGGCCCCGCCCCCTGCATTCAGGAGGGGAAAAAACACAGACACAAAAATATTCGTCGACTTCCCGCAGACATGCGAAAGTATGGGAAGTGGGGGGGAAGACAGAAACCAAGAAGATCTGGGAAAACATGGGGAATCTGTTTGTTTGTGTGTATTTATGCGTGTGTCCCAGGGCCCCTTCATACATGTCCTCGTTTTTTCCTCAGCAGTGGGGCCCGTCCTGGCGGGCCCGATGGCACGCTCGGATGGCAAGTCGCGGAGGCTTGCGGACGTCTTGGCTCGAGGGTATGGCGGCGAATTAGCGCCCAACAGCGCTCACTAGCGCTCAAGAGCACCACACAGCGCCGACGAGCGCTCGATAGCGCCCAGTAGCGCCCAAAGTGCGCCGAGTGGCGCCCAATAGCGCCCGAAGGCGCCATGTGGGTGCAGATGCATTGCGTTTGCCCTGCGCGGGATTGGACGCGCTAGTGGGCGCCATGGGGACGACCAAACGCGTCCGTGACTTGCTTTCTTAAGTCATGACTGAAGCAGGCCGCCCGAGAATGCAGATTTGGCGTCTCAGAGCATGGGGGGCAGCGACAGCTGGTGCGGCCTACGATGCTCGTCGGGGGTTCCATCTGGATGTATCGTTGCCCCAACATTTGCGGCCTTGTCAGGCCAGTCGTTCCCCAGACGGCGGACATGCTCGTCCTCGGGGCAGGGCTCGGACGGGGCTAGGACGAGGACAAATCCGTTCCAGAGCGTTCCGGAACGCTCTCAGAGCGTTCGGGAGCGCTTTGAGAAGGCCGCGGCGCCCGAGACACCCTCCAGAGCCACGGGATCTCGGTCTCGATCTATATCCTCACCCGAATTTATCCTCGTCCTGGCTCTGTCCTCAGGGGCGGGGTCGAGCGCAAGCTGGGCCCCCGCCCGATCCGCTCCCGAGGCCTGGCCGCTGGACAGAGCCTCGGCCGGGGGGCTGGCCATTGCCTCCCCAGGGCCGCCGGCAGCCAGGCCGCCCCCCCCACGCGAAGTTGGCCAGCCCGCCCGCGCCCATCGGCCTCCGGTGCATTGGTATCCGTGATGGTGGCCTCCGGTGCATTGACCACGTGCTGAGTCCCAGCACCTCCGCCTCCTCCTCCTCCTGCCCCTCCTCCTGTCCCTCCCCCCTCTTCCCCACCCCTCCCCTCCACCTCCTCCCCCTCCTCCTCCTCCTCCCTCCACTATACCTCCTCCCTCCCTATCCTCCTCCTCCTCCTCCTCCTCCTCCTCCTCCTCTTCCTGTTCCTCCTCCGCAGTTGCGCAGGATGATTCGTACGCTCCTTTCCCTCCAGGCACTGCGCGAACGGGACGCCGCCGCTCCCGCACGCCTGAGGAGTGACGTCCATCTTTGTCCCAACCATCCTGCGTTGGGTTCTCGTCTGGAGCGGAGCGCTGCGGTCGCGCCTCCTCCTCCTCCTACTCCTCCTGCCTGCCTCCTCCTCCTCCTCCTCCTCCTCCTTCCTCCTCCTCCTCCTCCTCCTCCTCCTCCTCCCGCCTGCCTCCTCCTCTCTTCCCTCCTCCTCTTCTCCTCTGCCTCCAGCCTCCAGGCCTCGCCGCCCTGCCTGGGGGCTCCCTGGGTGCTGCGAGCTGCGGGACCGTCGCCGCTTTCGTGGGGCCCTGGAATGGCCAGCGGAGTGACGTCCTGTTCAGATCAGGCGAGGAGGAGGAGGAGGAGGAGGAGGAGGAGGAGGAGGAGGAGGAGGAGGAGGAGGAGGAGGAGGAGGAGGAGGAGGAGACCTCGCCGGCGCCGGGGGCTGCAAACTGCGAGTCGGTCGCCGCTTTAGGGTGTTCCTGGGTGAGAGCTGCGACTCCGTCGCCACTTTCGTGGGCTCCTGGGAAGTCCAGCGGAGTGGCGTCTTATTCAGATCAGATGAGACCTCGCCGTCGCGGTGTGTGTGTGTGTGTGTGTGTGTGTGTGTGTCTGTGTGTGTGTGTTTTTTTTTTTTTTGTGTGTGTGTGTGTGTCTGTGTGTGTGTGTGTGTGTGCGCGAGCAGCGGAACCGTCGCCGCTTTCGTGGGTCCGCGGGAGGTCCAGCGGGGTGACGTCCTAGTCAGATCAGTTGAGACCTCGCCGTTGCTGGGGGCTGCGAACTGCGAAACCGTCGCCACTTTCGTGGGCTCCTGGGAAGTCCAGCGGAGTGACGTCCTATTCAGATCAGATGAGACCTCGCTGTCGCTGGGGGCTGCAAGCTGCAAAGCAGTCGACACGTTCGTGTGTTCCTCGGTGCGAGCTGCAAATCTGAAATCAGATGGCGCCCCGCCGTCGCTGGGGGCTTCGAACTGCGAAACCGTCGCCACTTTCGTGGGCTCCTGGGAAGCCCAGCGGAGTAACGTCCTATTCAGATCAGATGGTACCTCGCCGTCGCTGGGGGTTGCGAGCTGCGAAACCGTCGCCGCTTTCGTGGGTCCGCGGGAGGTCCAGCGGAGTGACGTCCTAGAGACCTCGCCGTCGCTGGAGGCTGCGAATCGCGAAACGGTGGCCACTTCCGTGGGCTCCTGGGAGGTCCAGCGGGGTGACGTCCTATTCAGATCAGGTGGGTCCTCGCCGTCACTGGATGCTGCGAGCTGCGACACCGTCGCCATTTTCGTGGGCTCCTGGGAGGTCCAGCGGAGTGGCGTCCTATTCAGAGCAGGTGAGGCCTCGCCGTCGCTTTGGAGTGCCACAGCGACATGGCGCATGCTGCGCTGCTTGTCCAGCGTGCCACTAGACAATAGTCGCCACCCTCCTTCCTCATCCCCCCTCTTTCGTTGTCGTCCTCTTCCTCCTTCCACCGTCTCCTCTTGCATCTTTCTCCTGCCCCTCGCTCTGTGAGTCGTGCTACTTGCGCGCATCCAGTGGAGCTTCGATACGAAATGGCGGCTCTATGTGTCGTCACCAGCCCTATCAACCCGGGCCAACTCCTTTCGTCACTCAGTGCGCATGGGTTGTGTGCGTCACGGGGTTACGCAGGTGCTCCGGGTGCTCCCGCTGCAGTGCTGGCCTCACCCCAGGATCGCCGCTGTGCTGCCGTGGCTCGGGTGGCCCTCTCTGCTCCTCGGCGGCGAGCGATGGGGGCGAGGTGCGACGGCGGAGGCCGCCTCAGCAGGCGGCGGGGCCTCTTCCGAAACCCTGGGGGCTTCTGAGAGGTTCCCTGTCTCTTCGGGGGAGGCTAGGCTCGGTCGACTCTCCGGCAGGCCCACAGCGCTCCGCGCCCTCTCGCAGGGGCCCGCCCCTGCGTTCCTTTGCGCTGCTTCAGGGGGGGCGTCTGGAGCCAGAGATGCCTCAAGGAAGAGCCAGCCAGTACGACTGGGCGACGCGTGCGTGTGAAAAGGTGCCACCTGTAGCCACGACGGCTCGGCCTTCCCACTCCTCTCCCCAGGAGCGAAAGAAGGACGTACATGTACATGAATCCACGCTGGTTTCGAGAGCACGCATTGCACAAATGTTCGTATAACGCGGCCGGTCTCGCGAATCGAGGGGCCGTGTTCATGTACATAGATGGGCGCGTACGTCCTTTTTGGGCTGTCTCCCCCAGGCGCGCTGCCGAGCCTCGGCGCGGGTCACAGGTCACGGATCCGGCTCCCTCCTCGTCGTCGTCGCCCCCCCCCCGCCCCCCCTTCCAGTTTACCCGCTCCCGCGCCCTGCCCTGGCCCTCCTCTGCTCCTCCCCGCTCCTCGTGCTCCTGCTCTTCGCTGCTGTTCCTCTTTTTTCTCGCATCCTCCTCCCCCTCCTTTGTTTCCTCCTCCTCCTCCTCCTCCTCCTCCTTCCTCCTCCTCCTCCTCATACATGGCGTCAAGGGTGTGCATATCGTATCGTATCCTCCTCCTTATCTTCTTCCTCCTTCCTCCTCCTCCTCCTTCCTCCTCCTTCCTCCTTCCTCCTTCCTCCTTCCTCCTTCCTCCTCCCTCCAACTCCTCCTCCTTCCTCCTATTCCTCCTCCTCTTTCTCCTCCTCCTGCTCCTCCTCCTCCTCTTTTTGTTCCTCCTCGTCTCTTCCAATGTACATCGCTCCCCTGTCTGATAGCGCGTTACACGATGGGGTCGTGCCAGGGACCCAGGTCCGTCAGGACACCCACCGGCGGATACAGACACACCATCGCAATGGGACGGGATGGATGTGAGAGCTCATCGGGATGTCAGGTATGGCGTGCACGCACCTGGCTCGCCCTCCTCCCCTCTTCCCTCATCCTTCTCCTCTTCCTTCTCCTCCTTCTCCTTCCTTCTCCTGCTCCTGCTCCTGCTCCTGCAGCTGCTCCTCCTCCTCCTCCATCCTCCTCCTCCTCCTCCTTCCTCCTCCTCCCTCTTCACTCCCCGCCCACGATCATGCTCCTGCTCCTGCTCATGCTTGCTCCTCCTCTCCTCCTCCTCCTCATCCTCCTCTACTCATGCTCTGCTCCTGCTCCTGCTCCTCGTCCTGCTCCTGATAACTCCTCCTCCTCCTTCCTTACCCTCCTCCTCCTCCTTCTCCTCATCCTCCCTCCTCTATTCCATCCTCTTACCCTTGTCCTCCTCTCCCTCAACTCCTCTCTTCCTCCTTTTTATTATCATCTCATCTTCCCGGGCCGCCGCCCCCGCTCCGCCCCTCAGCCTTGTGGGCGCCCTAGCGCACCCTACCCCCCCCCCGCCACCCCGAATGAGGACCCGGAGCAGAGGCACCTCGTGGAGAGCCCCATACGGGAGGCGGCGGCGCGGTCTTGCGCAAGCGGGTTGGCGGGAGGAGGGCTCGGTCTGCGCGCCCCGCCTTTTTCGGTCTGCCTCTCTACCTCTGCGCCCCTACTTGCAGTCTTCTCACTTTCTCCCGCATGAGCCCGCCCCGCCCCACCTGGTCAAGCCGTAGGGCGGGGGCAGGAAAGATGGCCGCGTCTGTACGACGCTTCGGCCGAGAGCGAGCGCGCGGGGTCTGCGCGTCCCCAGGGCTGGTCACAGCTGAGCGGCCGGTCCCTCCCGTGGGGCCGACGCTGAGCGCAGAAGGGATGCGTGGGCTCCAACTTGCAGTGGGCCTGGCCGCGCGAACACGCGGCGCGCAGGAGGAGGAGAAGGAGGAGGAGGAGGAGGAGGAGGAGGAGGAGGAGGAGGAGGAGGAGGAGGAGGAGGAGGAGGAGGAGGAGGAGGAGGAGGAGGAGGACCAGTGCAAGCCCAAGACCCGTTAACGATATTCCAATGAACCCTCCATCCAAGTTTCCTCCTCATGGGCCCCTGCAATGAGATTCATTTCCACTTCGGGAAGCGCTCGGTTGGAAAACAACCGTCAAACATCCAGAACTGTGCCAGAGCACCATTCCGGAGACTTCAACGCAGCGAATCACCGTCACTGTCACGTCTTGACGATCCTGCATCTTGTCAGAACATTGGTCTTTCAATTTCACTTCCGCGAATCGATGTAACTGTTGCGCCCTGACAGCCTGACATCGCGCCAGAACACCATTTCTGGTGCGCTAGCCATGACCGTCATTGAAACTGCTGTGAGCTCTGAAAGCGAATGTGCTCGACGCAGAGGCGAGAGCCACATTTTGCACAGGAGCCGCCCTCCATCCGTGTGCGCGTCGCTACGGCGAAAGCCACATTTTCAAATCCACCCGCCCTCCATCCGTGACATTCTTACAAGTTTTAAGGTGAATGTTTGTGGCGCTGAGGCGCGCACCACATTTTGAGAACCACCCGCCCTCCATCCGTGAAGCTCTTCAATTTGTGACGGCGGATGTGCGCGGCGATAGGGCGATAGCCACATTTGTAAGCAACCCGCCCTCTATCCGTGAAGCTCTGGCACATGTTAAGACGAGTGCGCGTGGCGTTTAGGCGCGAGCCACATTTTGAAAACGCTCCGCCCTCCATTCGTGAAAGCGTTGCAATTTCTGCGCTTCAGGATTGTAAATGCTGAGGAAGTCTCAGGCGAAACGCCCGGCCCGCTTTTTCGACCACCCTCGGGGTGCGACAGGGAGGAGTTGTCTTTAAGGAAAAGGAGTTAGAGGAGTAGGAGGAGTAGGAGGAGCAGTAGGAGGAGGAGTCGTAGGAGGAGTCGTAGGAGGAGGAGGAGGAGGAGGAGGAGGAGGAGGAGGAGGAGGAGGAGGAGGAGGAGGAGGAGGAGGAGGAGGAGCAGGAGGAGGAGGAGGAGGAGGAGAGGAGGAAGAGGAGGAGGAGGGGAGGAGGAGGAGGTGGAGGAGCAGGAGCAGGAGCAGGAGCAGGAGCAGGAGCAGGAGGAGGTCCCCTGTCCTCCCCGCCCACCGACCGCCGCCCTGCCCGCAGGACGACGAGTCCCCGACCCCCGCCATGCTGCAGGGCATCACCACGCTGCCAGAGGACCGCTCCCTGGGCCGCGCGTCCGCGTGGGGTGGGGCGGGAGAGGCAGGCGCCGCGATGGCGCGCCACGGCGCGCTGGCAGGATCTAGGGAGAGGGGGAGGGGGAGGAGGAGGAGGAGGAAGAGGAGGAGGAGGAGGAGGAGGAGGAGGAGGAGGAGGAGGGAGGAGGGAGGAGGAGGAGGAGGAGGAGGAGGAGGAGGAGGAGGAGGAGGAGGAGGAGGAGGAGGCGGACAAGGAGGAGGAGGACGAGGAGGAGAAGGACGAGGAGGAGGAGGCGGAGGAGGAGGATGAGGAGGAGGAGGAGAAGGAGGAGGAGGACCAGCGCCCACGCGACACTTACCACGTGTGGCACAGCACGGGGCATAATGGCCGCTTTTGGTCTTGTGGACGGTCTCGTGAGCTCTGAGTTTCTTGGTACGGGCACCCTGTCGCACCCAAGCGGTCGTCACTTTCGGGCACGCCAGTGGCGGTCTGGATAGAGTGAGCGGCTTGAATAAGGAACACTTGTTTTTCAAAAGGGGCTTGGTCGTTCCTTAGGTTTGCATGCGTTATTGTCGTTCCTTACGCGTTATTTACAATTTATCGTTCCTCATGCGTCATTCCTTGGGAAAAAGGGGCTTCGTTCCTCATTTATCGTTCCTCAGGTCAGGCCGATGACGGTAGCTGAGATCCTCATTTCAATTTGGTCGGCCTTGCGACCGGCACTCTTCGACGCAATGGAGCGCTCGAGCCGAGCGTGCAAGCGCCCAGGTCTGACCCCGGATCTGTATGGTGTTGCTTAGGCGAGTTGGCCATGCTGGAGCTTGTCACTCGTGTGCCCGCTGGGCTACCGTTCGTGCCACACGTGCTGAGCTGGCGCTTCGCGGGCAGTATGCGCCCCAACGGGTCCAGGCGCGTTTCATGGAGACGGCCTGGCCAGATTTTGTGTCAGCAGTCTCCCCCTGTTTGTATTGCTGTTCGCATCAGTTCCCGCCTCAGTGTCAGCGAAGAGACTGACTGTGTCAGTCTGGAGGCGATGCGAATCAACAGTGACCTCGTCGACCGATTGGCTGGGGAAGCTACAGCAGCACATCGTGTGCCGAGTGCTGAGTTGGTCAGACTTGTTGAAGCTGAATGGCGTGCCCTTCTGTTGCGCAGGATCTTGTTGCGTGCAAACCGTATGATAACATCTCGAACGCTTGGGCTGGTGTTTTTCCCTACCTAGTCTCTGCCTAGAAGGGTTCTTACTCTCTTTGCTTAAAGGGCCGGGCAATGCTAACCGCCCCGGGCGGTTCCCCCAGTCTCCGCCCCGCGGTTCCCCCAGTCCCCTGGGAGCTTTAGCCTTAGCTTTAGCTTTAGCTTAGCTTTAGCTTTAGCTTTAGCTTTAGCTTTAGCTTAGCCTTAGCTCAGCTTTAGCTTAGTGTTAGCTTAGCTTTAGCTTAGCTTTAGCTTAGCTTTAGCTTAGCTTCAGCTTAGTGTTAGCTTAGCTTTAGCGTAGCTTTAGCTTAGCTTTAGCTTAGCTTTAACTTAGCTTTAGCTTAGTGTTAGCTTAGCCTTAGCTTAGCTTTAGCTTAGCTTTAGCTTAGCTTTAGCTTAGCTTTAGCTTAGCTTCAGCTTAGTGTCAGCTTAGCTTTAGCTTAGCTTTAGCTTAGCTTTAGCTTAGTGTTAGCTTAGCCTTAGCTTAGCTTTAGCTTAGCTTTAGCTTAGCTTCAGCTTAGCTTTAGCTTAGCTTTAGCTTAGCTTTAGCTTAGCGTTAGCTTAGCGTTAGCTTAGCTCCAGCTTAGCTTTAGCTTAGCTTTAGCTTAGTGTCAGCTTAGCTTTAGCTTAGTTTTAGCTTAGCTTTAGCTCAGCTTTAACTTAGCTTTATCTTAGCTTTAGCTTTAGCTTTAGCTTAGCTTTAGCTTAGCTTTAGCTTAGCTTTAGCTTAGTTCCAGCTTAGCTTTAGCTTAGCTTTAGCTTAGTGTTAGCTTAGCCTTAGCTTAGCTTTAGCTTAGCTTTAGCTTCGCTTCAGCTTAGCTTTAGCTTAGCTTTAGCTTAGCTTTACTGTTACTACTAATGCTGCTTTCCTAGGGGCTTCAACTCCTAGGTAGGGTCGCACTGGGATAATTTTTTGGATTCAGAACTTGCAATCGGTCATCGTAGAACAATGCCAGTATGCCTGACCCGTAGATAGCATTCACGGACATCCATTGCCGAAGGTTGTGGGGCTAACACGAGATATGCGGAGGAGGGTGTGATTGCAGATATGTGCGGATTCTTGCCCAATGTGTATAAGTCATCCTCCTCGTGAAGCCGTATCCACCCGCATGAGCAGCGGATGTGCTGCAATTCGTGAGTTCTTCTGCTGTTTCTTCTCCTCCCTGTCTTTTTTCCTTCCTCTCCTCCTCCTCCTCCTCCTCCTCCTGATCCTCCTCCTCTTTCCTCGCTCACCCCTCCTTCCTCGTCCCTCCCAGAGGTGTGGCAGTTCATAGAGCAGACCTACGCCCCGCTGTTCCTCGCACAGAACGACAGCCTGGGCAATCTGCTGCCAGAGGAGCTGGCGGCGGTTGGAAATTCAGACCTCGTTGGCGACACGAGAGCAAACATCGCCTCGGAGGTTGGCCAGTCGTCATTTTTGGGTCCCACAGGCATGGTGCTACCATTAAGTCGGGCATGTCCCTCTACAGGAGGAATCTTCAAACAATAGTTAAAACATATGGAGGCGGCCAGGAGCCCAATCGGCTTCCAGCGCCCTCCTGCTTCATGCCTCTACCCACTTCTCCCCCGACCGGCGGGCGCAAGACCCGGGTCTCATGAGCGGCACGGAACCCAGAGCTCCTCATGAGACCAGCGTGGGCCTTATTTTCAGCACCTTGGCTGTGGGAGCCTCTCCCTGGGGCCCCCCGGGGGCCGTCGGAGAGCGACCCGGGATGGGGAGCCGACCCCCAGGGGGAAGCGGTCGCGAGGTCCAGGGGCCCCGGGGCCCGAACATGAGCGTCGGCGGCGCGCACCAAGCGGGGCTGGCGCGGGGGGGTGTAGGGGGGGGGTCGGCCTCTCAAGAAGGCCGAGGGGGGGGGGGGGCCTCTCGGAGGGCAGCGGCCCTCGTCGAGAGGCCCTTCCGGCCTCGTCCTTGTGCAAGGAGGCCGCCCCCAGAAGCCCCTTGGGCCCGTCTGAGAGGAAGGCCACCGCCTTCCACAGAAGCCCCGCGATCTTGGGAGGTGCCCCCCCCTCTCGCGCCAACTCCCCTTGTGCAAGGGAGCGAAAGGTCGCCACAAGAGGGGGTGACGTCACAGAAGCGGGCGATTAGGCCGCGCCCGATACAGAAGTCGGGTCATAGGAGGTTCGGCGTGGACGGTGGGGAGGAGGAGGAGGAGGAGGAGGAGGAGGAGGAGGAGGAGTGGAGGAGGAGGAGGAGAGGAGGAGGAGGAGGAGGAGGAGGAGGGCGAGGAGGAGGCGGAGGAGGAGGAGGAGGAGGAGGAGAAGGAGGAGGAGAAGGAGGAGGAGGAGGAGGGAGGAGGAGGAGGAGGAGAGGAGGGGAGGAGGAGGAGGAGGAGTGGGGAGGAGGAGGGGGGAGGAGGGAGGACGGAGGGAGGACGGAGAACAGGGGACGGAGGAGAAGGGGCCGAGGAGGGGGATGATGAGGGGGAAGACTGGGGAGGGAGGACGAGGGGAGGAGGAGATCGGGAGGATCAGGAGGAGGAGGACGGATGAATCTTAGAATGAGCCTTGGCGGGTGACTGGGGAACGTTGAGGTCTGGCTTAAGCTCATCTAGTGCTTTGTCCAGCCGCACTGACTGCAGTCTTGTCAGCCTCGGTTGCAGGCAGCCTGCAACATGCCCTCCAGGGCAATTTTGGAAGGAGGAAGAGAAGGATGAGCTGGAGGGGGAGGGTGAGGGGGAGAGATGAAAAGACGAGAAAGATGGGGACGACGAGTAGGAGGAGGACGGGGAGTCGGAGGAGGATGCAGAGGAGGGGGAGGAGGGGGAGGAGGGGGAGGAGGAGGAATAGGCGGAGGAGGAGGAAGAGGAGGAGGAGGGGGAGGAGGAGAAGGAGGAGAGGGAGGAGGAGGGAGTGAGGATGAGGTTGAGGATGGTGGTGCTGCTGCTGATGGTGATGATGATGATGCTGATGATGATGATGAGGGGGAGGAGGAGAAGGATGAGGAGGAGGAGGAGGAGGAGTTGGAGGAGGAGGAGGAGGAGGAGGAGGAGGAGGGGGATGATGATGCTGCTGATGATGCGAATGATGATGCTGATCATGATGATGATGATTATGATGATGTTGGTGGTGATGATGATGTCGGTGATGATGATGTCGGTGTTGATGATGGTGATGCTGCTGATGGTGGTGATGATGATGATGCGGATGTGGACACGGAGGTGAACGCGGATGTCGGTGCGGATGATGTTGATGATCATGCTGGTGATGATGATGTTGCTGCTGATGATGATTCCGATTCTGATAATGTTGTTGATGATGTTGATGCTGCTGGTGATGGTGATGCTGATGCTGATGCTGCCGCCGCTTCTGCTGATGATGATGGTGATGATCAGTATGCTGACGATGACGATGATGCTGCTTCCGGTGATAATGATCATGCTGATGGTGGTGATGATAACGATGCTGATGGTGATGCTGACGAGGATACTGATGTTGACGGCGACGACGACGACGACGACGACGATGATGATGATGATGATGATGATGATGATGATGATGATGATGATGATGATGATGATGATGATGATGATGATGATGATGATGATGATGATGATGATGATGATGATGATGATGATGATGATGATGATGCTGATGATGATGATGATGATGATGTTGGTGATGATGATGTTGGTGTTGATGGTGGTCATGGTGATGATGGTGATGATGATGCTGCTGCTGCTGATGATGCTGATCATGATGGTGACGACGATGCTGACGAGGACGATGACGACGATTCTAATGCTGATGATAATGATGATGATGCTGATGATGCTGCTGATGCTGCTGATGATGACGATGAGGAGGATGAGAAGGACGAGAAGGACGAGGACGACGAGGGGGAGTGAGGAGGCAGGCGAGGATGAGGATGGAGCAGGAGGATGAGGATGACGACCGTGGCGGCGGCGAGGCGGGGGACGCAAGGCAGGGGAGGGTCCCCCCCCCCCCTTGGGTGCGCTGCCCGGCGGAGGACGAGTGGGGCACCATGTACCAGTACAACAAAGTGCTGGCGCCCGCTCCCCCCGCCCTCCGCCACGCTGCTGCCCTGGGGCCGCACGGCTCTCCCCCCGTCGTCGTCGTCGTCGTCGTCGTCGTCGTCGTCGTCGTCGCCGTCGCCGCTGGGCCAGGACACTGGACTTCAGTCGGGCATGTCCCTCTACAGGAGGACTTGTTCAAGCATTGAAAGGATAACCAGGGGATTTGCTGGTATCTTTCATTATTGTTTGCTTTTTTTTTTTGTGTATATATATATATATAAAACAAAAAACAAAAAATCAAAGTTATTATTTTTGAATAACATATGTTTCTATAGTTTTCACTTTTCGTCCAAAATCCGCCTGTAGGAGGACACGCCCGACCTAACACTAGGCCGACTTGTTCAGCGTGGGGCGGCTGAAACTGCGGCGTGGCTGTCTGTTGGGGCTGCTGCGGCGCCGAGGCTCGTCGTGGTACGCCCGTGGCGGAGCAGCTGCGACACGAGTTTTGTGCCACCCCTCGCCCCCCCGGTCTTGGAAGTCCTGCCGGGTGCTCTCGGGCTCTTGGGCTTGCGCCGCACCCGTGCTCGCCAAAGCGGCGGCGCCGTATTTCATTTTGGCTGAGAGGCTTGGCTCTAACAAAGGAGAGATCCTGTACACTTTACTCTACGTGTGTCCGTCGCCACGGCAATGACGCTGTCCCGTGTGGCACGCGCGACGGCGACGGCCGCCGTGGCCCTCGCGTCATGCTCCAGCGCCCTGGAGGATGCCCGCCGCAAGGGTCTCCGCCACAAGGCGGCGCTGAAGCCCGAGGATAATCTGAAGCTGCCGCTCAACCTGGAGGATGGCCACGTGCCCCTGTTCGTGAAATGGGAAAAGTACCTCGGCAAGGACCTGAGTGACGTGAACTTCGTCCAGATAGGGGGCAACTGCGGCACGAATCTGCCAGACTGCGCCGTGGGCGGCGATCCTATCTGGGAGTACGCTACCCGCTTCGACTGGAAGGGCATCGTCCTGGAGCCCGTGCCCCAGATCTTCTCCAAGTTGTCCAAGAACTACCAGCCGTACCCCTCCGTGAAGCCGGTGCAGGCACTTGTGAGCAACCACTCTGGTGTTGGCAGGATCTTGGACCGTGCGGAGACCTCCCACGAGATCAGCCTATCTCGTAAGAAGGGCGTCGAGGTTCCCACGTACACGCTGCAGACGCTCTGGAAGGATGTGTTCGGCGCGGACAAGGAGAAGGTCGACCTGCTCGTCGTGGATGCAGAGGGCAACGAGCCGAAGATCTTGTCGGGCGCGTTCCCGGAGCCGAAGCCACAGCTTGTGCTGTTCGAGATCGCCAATCTTCAGCAGGCCGATCTCGCGGTCATCGACGCCAATCTGAAAGAGAAGGGCTACGTCTTGCTGGAGAACCTGGTCCACCAGGACAAGGTGGGGCTCACGATGGCGCCGCAGGACGCGCTGTACGGCCTGAAGGAGATGCCGGCGGCGCAGGTCGCGCTGAAGGAGCGCAAGCAGGCGCAGTCCTTGCCGCTCAAGCTGGAGGACGGCCACGTGCCCCTGTTCGTGAAGTGGGAGGAGTACCTCGAGAGCATGCACGGCGTGAACTTCGTCCAGATTGGGGGCAACTGCGGCACGAATCTGCCGGAGTGCGCCGTGGGCGGCGACCCTATCTGGGAGTATGCCACCCGCTTTGACTGGAAGGGCATCGTCCTGGAGCCCGTGCCCAAGATCTTCTCCAAGCTGACCGCGAACTACTTGCCGTATCCGACAGTGAAGCCGGTGCAGGCACTTGTTAGCAATCACTCTGGTGTTGGCAGGATCTTGGACCGTGCGGAGACCTCCCACGAGATCAGCCTATCTCGTAAGAAGGGCGTCGAGGTGCCCACGTACACGCTGCAGACGCTCTGGAAGGATGTGTTCGGCGCGGACCAGGAGAAGGTCGACCTGCTCGTCGTGGACGCAGAGGGCAACGAGCCGAAGATCTTGTCGGGCGCGTTCCCAGAGCCGAAGCCGCAGCTGGTGCTGTTCGAGATCTCCAGCCTGCAGCCAGAGGAGCTGGACGCGATCGACAGGAACCTGAAGAAGGAGGGCTACGTCCTGGAGAAGCAGCTGAAGCACCAGGACAAGGTGGGCCTGACCATGGCGCCGCAGGACGCCCTGTACAAGCTGCGCCCAGAGTCCGCGTGATCTGGGCCCGGGAGGTCGGCTGACCCCCCTGGTGTGGCGCGGTCCTGGCAGAGCGGACTTCGCTCGCTGTTTCTGCCTTCTCAGAGGTTCCAGTGAGCGGGGTACGTTGACAGCTCGTCGTCCTCCTGCTGCTCCTCCTCCCCCCTCTCCTCTTCTCCCATCCTGCCCCTCCCCCGCTCTCTTCTTTTTCAGTCATCCCGCTCGCAGGACTCTCTGAGACGGCGCAGTCCACCTTCGCCCGCTCCTCTCCAGTCAAGCTGTCTCGCATCCGGACTACCGACGTCGTGCTTTTTGAAGGCGTGGTCCCCTGGAGGCCCCAACCCCTCCCCGGGGACCAGTTCCCCTTCCCCAGGGGCTGGTAGGGGAGAGGCCGAGAACTGACGAGAACGTTCCGCCGCGGTTTTTCGCGACGCGAGGGGGGGTCTTTGGAGGAGGGCGACAACGTACCCTTCGGGCCTGTCCGCAGGCATCGCGTCGCGCGGGGGGGGGTCTCGGTGGTTTTTGGCCCAGCGGGACCGTCAACGAACGACTCGGCTTCAGAGTCTGGTCCCAGGGAAGGGGTCGACACCTCAGGGGGTCCAGGTTGCGAGCAAAGTCGTGACGTCGGGGGCCCGGGTGAATTGGAGGGGCGTTCCATCCTGCAGAAGGTGGGTGCGCTGCGGGTTTCCGCAAGCAAGACAGTAGACCCCCACTGGCTCATCGCTTTCTCGAGCGGCATCTGCATTCCCGCTCCTGTCGGCACCCTGACCTCTTCAGTCGACCACTTGTAAGCCAAAACTATTTCTGCTCGCAAGGGTCTTGCACACTGGAGGGCCACGACACGGGCTCTCCACTGCGCAGTGGGCTGACTCGTGCAATGTGGGGTCGTCGCAGCTGTCCTTTGGGATTACCGCGTCGCATGGAGAGGCAGGTGCTGCAAACTTCGTTCCACGCCTCGCCACCCAGTCTTGGGAGTCTTGCCATGTACACTGAGGCTTTATGCTTGCGCCGCAACCGTGTTAGCCTAAGCGGTGGCGCCGTATTCATTTTGTCTGAACAGCTTGGCTCTAAGGAGGGATCCTGTACACTTTATTCTACGTGTGTCAGTAGCCGCCCGCGGCCCCGCGGTGTAGCTGAAGGCGATGACGCTGTCCCGTGTGGCACGCGCGACGGCGACGGCCGCCGTGGCCCTCGCGTCATGCACCAGCGCGCTGGAGGAAGCCCGCCGCAAGGGTCTCCGCCACAAGGCGGCGCTGCAGCCCGAGGATAATCTGAAGCTGCCGCTCAACCTGGAGGATGGCCACGTGCCCCTGTTCGTGAAATGGGAAAAGTACCTCGGCAAGGACCTGAGTGACGTGAACTTCGTCCAGATAGGGGGCAACTGCGGCACGAACCTGCCGGACTGCGCCGTGGGCGGCGATCCTATCTGGGAGTACGCCACCCGCTTCGATTGGAAGGGCATCGTCCTGGAGCCTGTGCCCCAGATTTTCTCCAAGTTGTCCAAGAACTACCAGCCGTACCCTTCCGTGAAGCCGGTGCAGGCACTTGTGAGCAACCACTCTGGTGTTGGCAGGATTTTGGACCGTGCGGAGACCTCCCACGAGATCAGCCTCTCTCGTAAGAAGGGCGTCGAGGTGCCCACGTACACGCTGCAGACGCTCTGGAAGGATGTGTTCGGCGCGGACAAGGAGAAGGTCGACCTGCTCGTCGTGGATGCAGAGGGCAACGAGCCGAAGATCTTGTCGGGCGCGTTCCCGGAGCCGAAGCCACAGCTGGTGCTGTTCGAGATCGCCAATCTTCAGCAGGCCGATCTCGCGGTCATCGACGCCAATCTGAAAGAGAAGGGCTACGTCTTGCTGGAGAACCTGGTCCACCAGGACAAGGTGGGGCTCACGATGGCGCCGCAGGACGCGCTGTACGGCCTGAAGGAGATGCCGGCGGCGCAGGTCGCGCTGAAGGAGCGCAAGCAGGCGCAGTCCTTGCCGCTCAAGCTGGAGGACGGCCACGTGCCCCTGTTCGTGAAGTGGGAGGAGCACCTCGAGAGCATGCACGGCGTGAACTTCGTCCAGATTGGGGGCAACTGCGGCACGAATCTGCCAGAGTGCGCCGTGGGCGGCGACCCTATCTGGGAGTATGCCACCCGCTTTGACTGGAAGGGCATCGTCCTGGAGCCCGTGCCCAAGATCTTCTCCAAGCTGACCGCGAATTACTTGCCGTATCCGACAGTGAAGCCGGTGCAGGCACTTGTGAGCAACCACTCTGGTGTTGGCAGGATCTTGGACCGTGCGGAGACCTCCCACGAGATCAGCCTCTCTCGTAAGAAGGGCGTCGAGGTGCCCACGTATACGCTGCAGACGCTCTGGAAGGATGTGTTCGGCGCGGACCAGGAGAAGGTCGACCTGCTCGTCGTGGACGCAGAGGGCAACGAGCCGAAGATCTTGTCCGGCGCGTTCCCGGAGCCGAAGCCGCAGCTGGTGCTGTTCGAGATCTCCAGCCTGCAGCCAGAGGAGCTGGACGCGATCGACAGGAACCTGAAGAAGGAGGGCTACGTCCTGGAGAAGCAGCTGAAGCACCAGGACAAGGTGGGCCTGACCATGGCGCCGCAGGACGCCCTGTACAAGCTGCGCCCAGAGTCCGCGTGATCTGGGCCCAGGAGGTCGGCTGACCCCCCTGGTGTGGCGCGGTCCTGGCAGAGCGGACTTCGCTCGCTGTTTCTGCCTTGTCAGAGGTTCCAGTGAGCGGGGTACGTTAACAGCTCTTTGTCCTCCTGCTGCTCCTCCTCCCCCCTCTCCTCTTCTCTCCCCTCCTGTCCCTCCCCCGCCCTCTTCCCGTTTCAGTCACCCCGCTCGCAGGATTCTCTGAGACGGCGCAGTCGACCTTCGCCCGCTCCTCTCCAGTCAAGCTGTCTCGCATCCGGACTACCGACGTCGTGCTTTTTGAAGGCGTGGTCCCCCAGAGGTCCCAACCCCTCCCCAGGGACCAGTTTCCCTTCCCCAGGGGCTGGTAGGGGAGAGGCCGAGAACTGACGAGAACGTTCCGCCGTGTTTTTTCGCGACGCGAGGGGGGGTCTTTGG